AGCAAGTATATAAAGAGATGCCCAAGTCTTGACTTTGAACAGATTGGTAAAAATTTGAGGTAAGCCAGCTATTAATGAGTTACAGGAAGATGAGTGCTCTTGCACATGGCTAATGGCAGTGCATACTGGTACAGCCATTGTAGAGAACAATCTGGGCATACTTACTAGAAATGAATATGATCCAGTAATCCATTCCAGGAATGCATCCCAGAGAAACTTGAGCCCAGGTTCATAAGGGGACAGGCACAAAGATGTTCACTGTAGCAGCAGGTTAGAGGCAACTGGGTGTCCATCACTATAGAAATGGGTAAATAAAATGTGGTCTATACATACAGTAATTCAGCATGCAGAAGCAATAAACTAGTTATATACAGGAGCATGGGTGAATCTCTAAATGAATATTTATTTAAAAATTACAAATTGAATGAAGGCTACAGTATACTGTCATGTATATAAATTAAGAACAGATGCACATATAAAACAGTACCACATATGTTTCAAGGAACCACATATATCCAAAGATACCTGTGAGCTTTGGAACTTAAATGCAATATAATGGTGCTTATAGTGAGGAGGTTGGTAAATAGAGTTAAAATGGTGGATGAAAGTCTAAGTAATAAAATGGGGGAAGAAAGATGCCTTTGTGTAGGCAGTTGACACATGTGTTGTACACTGGTAAGTATTATTAACTCAACACCCTGCATCTGAGATTAAAAATATATGAATTATATAACTATAGTGCCTATGCTTTGTAAGTTAGGAAAAAGTATTACATCATGAATAAATATATTTAATTACTCTTGTTTCTTTACTGACTATCCCAGAACATGCCAGACTTCCATTAATTTTTTAAGTCTTATGCCATTGTCCCCCTCATCCTTGGTGACCTTTACCTATCCAATGATACCCTTCAAGATATAATTTAAGTTCTACTTCTTCATAAGACCTTTTAAATTGTTCTATTCATGCAAATGTCTCCCTGAAACCAATTACTTTTATAAGCTGTACCAAATCATCTAAGACTTAATAATATGTTGAATATATTGTCCTCTGTCACTGAATTATGTCTTGCCCAGGGCTTCCTCTACTAGATGTTAACTGCACAGAAAGCAGAGAGACGTCTTTGGAGCTTCCTGTTGTGCCGAGAACAGAGTTGTATATGTGAGAGTATTTGGATTAACAAATTTTCAGATAAGATTTGGGATTGTGGTGGCAAGGGATGGATAGATGGGATCCTAACCGAAGGTTGAAAAAATGTATCTTATTGCTGCTGAGAATTAATTTTGAAGGTGGAGAGAATAGAGATTCCTTTCGGAACTGGAGATTCTTTCGGAACTAGAGGAGAAAGAGTGGAATAATCACTATCATACTGTGAATGGAGTAGCCTTCCAATCAATGAAGGAGATGAAGCTTGCTTTAAGTTCCTCCTTTTTTTTCCCCCCTCTTCTCAGTGTTTCCTTATTTAGGACTATCACTATATTTTTCCCTGAAAACTTAAAGAAATTTGTTTTTACTTCAATCTACAAAATAAAACTAGTAAGAGCCAACTCAGGATGTGCTTCCTCAATCTAGAAAACTGTTCAACAGCTCCTTCTCCCCTTTTAGGGGAAATACGCTTCTTTTGTTTTTGATGAAAATTATCATTTTGTTATGATTACTGAATGTGTGAATTACTAAATTATAGTGGGCCATTCCTCTGGAGGCTGTGGAGAGAAGAAATGCCTTACATAGTGGGAGTTGATAAACTGAGTTGGATTCTCACTGAGATTTAGAATCACATTTAGCTATGCTCTGAAAATGATTTCAATGAGAGCCAAATGTCTCTGAAAGGGAAATTGATCTTTGGGTAAGATCCAACAGGAGGTTGGAGCTTTGAAACAAGAAGATATATGTGGCTTGCTCAGCCCTTTGGAAGGTGCAAAAGATAAGTGGATTGGCTCCAGGAAATAATGGTTGAAGAGAAAGTAATACAAGGCATAAAGAATCAGGGATATGATGTAATAAGACAGGGTCCAATATCTATTTCAGCTACTTACTAATTTTGTCACCTGTATTGAGTCAATAAATATCTCTGAAACTTTGCTTTCTTTTTTGTATGAGAAAGAGGTGAGAAAATCTTTATTTTGTATTCATCTATGAATGTTACCATCAGCTAAAAAGATCACTTGGCAGCTAAAAAAAATATGAACAGATAAGGAACATAAGAGAAGGAACTGAGCTTCATTCATTTTAATAACTGGCTAGTAATCATTTTAGTAACTGGCTAATAAAGAAATGGGCCTGAAATATAGTAGGTACTCAACAAATATTTGTTGAATGGATGCATCAGAAAAATGGAATAAATCAAGAGGAAGTAAAGTCAGAAGAGAACACCAAGACCAGACTCTCAGTCCAGGCATATAGGAGGCAGAGGATGGAATTTAGGAAGGCAGATAAGAAACTGGCCTCTTTGCCCAGAGGTCAGGACCAGGAAAAAAGCTGCAGGAGCCAGGATAGCTGTAGCATAAAAGTGCTGAGAGCCTATTATCTATACAGGAGATTAGCAGGCATGTTTTAAAGAATTAAGATTCACAGTAGTAATGCCTACCCAAGTATACCTTCAACAACATGTCTGAACAATTAGAATTATATTTAAGCAGCTAGAAGGCAAGGTGAGGAAGGGAAGTGAGGAGTCCCATGAAATTGCCATAGGTAAAATCAGACATACACTAGTAGTATAAATATGGTAAAAAAATTAATCTGAGACGTCTAGAAAATAAAGAATTCTGAAAAATGAAAATTATAGTATCTACTCTGAAGAATTGTTTTGAAGATTAAATAAGTGAACATATGAAAAGGACTTAAAATATGCCTAACATGATTTTTAAAATTGTATTATTATCATTATTATTGCCTTATTGTTTTTGTTGTTACTATAGCTATTATGCATAATAGAGTATGTATTAGCCAACTCAATCTTTGGCTTGACTTCAGTTCAAGAACTTGTAATTTGTAAAGTATTGCTTCTTTATTATTATTTTTATTTTATTTATTTATTTGACAGAGAGAGAGAGACACAGCGAGAGCAGGAACACAAGCAGGGGGAGTGGGAGAGGGAGAAGCAGGCTTCCTGCTGAGCAGGGAGCCTGATGTGGGGCTCGATCCCAGGACCCTGGGATCATGACCTGAGCCGAAGGCAGACGCTTAACGACTGAGCCACCCAGGCGCCCAAGTATTGCTTCTTTATTTTTGGGTTTTCTTCCAAGTGTGGTTTTTTCCTCCTTTGTGCTCTTTTAAAAGTCCTCCCCATCCACTCCCCCCTGCTCCCCACAATTCTAGCTTTGTTTTAGCAGCACCAAGGAAAAAGGACCTTTCCACTTAGGCCAGGGAGGCTAAGTGGGAGGTGGCTGTGGTCTGGCCATTAAGCCCTAGGATCTCAGATGTTAGAGGAACAGAAAAGTCAGAGCAGAACCATGGGAAGGGCAGGAATAGAAAGAGGCATGGTTGAAGTTTTCCTTCACATGACTCTGTGTAAGAGATGAACCATACCACATTCAACTGTACTTAGATTAACTTTCCCAATAAGAGGTGATGTCCCCCTCTAGTGTTTGTTTCTAGTTTATATAGTTGACCCTTGAAAAGAACAGGTTTGAACTGTAAGAGTCCACTTACAGGTGGATTTTTTTTTTATAAATACAGTATTGTAAATGTATTTTCTCTTTCTTATGATTTTCCCAATTACATTTTTTCTCTAGCTTACTTTATTGTAAGAAGAGTATATAATACATATATTATACAAAATAAGTGTTAATTGACTGTTTATGCTATTGGTAAGGCTTCCAGTCAATAGTAGGCTACTAAGTTTTTGAGGAGTCAAGAGTTATACGTGGACGTTCCACTGTGCAGGTGTCAGTACCCCTAACCCCCATATTATTCAAGGGTCAACTGTAATACCTTCATCTGAGTTGGGAGTAGGACCATCGCTTCCTAAAGACTACTGCTTTGTAAGATACATACTTTTAGCAGTAGACAAAGTTAAATATAATGTGAAAACTCTGCAACTGAACAGATAAATAAGAAAATTAATATAAGATTTGTTACAGAAATCATATTAATACTGATAACTTGCCAGTAGATATACTAGAGTTAACAAATACGGTTTATCACTGCTAAATCAAACTTTCAAAGAAATTTAGTTCTAGTGAAATGTGTTAGACTGTTAAATAAAAGTTTTAGCTAGTTTTGAAGTTACCTTCATCCCCAAAAGGTTTTTACTCTGACAGAAATAGGCCTCATTCCGTAACTTAGTTCCGCCCTTAAACTCCTTGATCAAACATAATTTTGGTATTAGTTCATAAGTTATGAAGCCAGCAGACTATTTTAGTTAAAGGATGATAAAGTATAGGGTCTGGGTAGGCCCAGTGTAGATGAAGATGAAGGGAGGGCTGGGTTTCACTTGTAATTCTCCGTCCAAGCTTTCATGCTGAGAAAATTGTTTCCAAGTGTTTAGAGCGATCTCAGTTCTGCAATCCCAGACACAAAGTATGATTTTGGGGGGCGGGGGAGTGCCTTAACTCCTAAATCTGTGTGTAACTATCAGGGCTAGGGCATACACGCAGGTAACGTCGTGTGGTCACACTAGCGGAAAATGGAGAGTGCGCTGCATATACGCATGTGGGGCGTGTGTTTGGTTTGCTTGTTTGCTTAGAGCCCTCAGAGAGGTAGAAACGAGAAGACAGAACTGCACTGACTCACTGAGGGACTGGTGAAGGGCTGCCGATGAGGTGCTGAGACATTCTAAATGAAAGGATAGTGTGTGAGGTAAACAAGTCTGCAGTCAGTAGAACAAAGGCGTCGTTTAGCTATGGTAGGCAACCTGAAGCGGTTTAGGCTTACCGGGAGGACGACCAGGAGAGCTCACAGTCGGGAAGCAGCCGTGCGGCTCCTGCAGGAGGTTCGCCTCCCGGTGAGCCCCGCCTCTCCTGAGCCCCGCCCCACCAACATCGGGCCAATGGGAGTCCGGGATGTTAGCGGGTGGGAGGTGCGGCCCGGTTGCTACAGCCGGAGCTGGGCGGTGGCGGCGGCGGTGGCGGCGGTGGCGGTAGCGGTGGCGGCGGCGGCGGCGGGTGCTGGGGGAGGAATCTCGCGGAACCAGAGGCGGTGGCGCAATGGAGGGACTGGAAGGTGAGGAGGTGAAGAGGTGTGGGCCGGGCGGTTAGAGCGGGCCTGGAGCACCCGGGGTGCCCAGGACAGCGGTGCCGGGGAGGCGAGGGCTGGACCGAAGTGGTGGACCCCGCCGCTCCTTGGGAGGCCCTGGCGGGCAGTACCCTTACGGCCCCCAACACCGTGGAGCTAATGATCCTCTGGCTGCCCCGCCTCAGACGGTCTTCAGCTGGGGTTCCCCACCGCGAGCCTGTTACTGCCTTTGGCATCTGCCTGCAGCTCTCTTCCTACCATCTTTTGGTCTTGCCTGACTCCTGAGTGTCCTTTTGGTAATCACAGTCTCCGGGCAGATTTTATTTTTCTTGCAAAGTGGACTCTTCGTTAATGTCCATGGCCTCCCTACTGCCAGCCTCTGCTGGGGCCCCGGGGTGTGTTTTCAGCCTCTAGCTCCTGACACTTTCCTTGGCCAGTTTCCCTAGGTAACCGTTTTTCTATTTCTACCGCATCTTCTGTCAGAGGGATGCCAAGAGCATCTCCCAAGGAAGAGTCACTGGCCAGCTTCAGAGCCGGGACAATAGATTAACAGAAGGATTTAAGAGCTTATTAAAGACGACTCAGTAAGGAAGAGCCGGCATTGATTCCTTATCTTGAGTTAATCCTTGTGCTGTAACCATGACTCCAGATTTTGCTTTGTTCCCAGTTCTTGCACTTCTCTATTATTTTTGTCCATTTTATCCTCTGTGGTATAACGTTTGCCTAAAAACAACAAAGGAAAAAAAAAACCCAGCTAACATTGGCAACAACAGTTTCAAGGTTATTTTTCAAATTGTGGTTAATCCTTCCGATGAAAGATCGTGTTGCTTTGGTTTAGCTCTTTCTTTCCCCCCTCCTATTTTACATAGATTCAGGTGGAATTAAAAATAAACAGAGGCATTGAGCTTTGTATTGTTGCATGCCAGAGAGCAGATTATTTCAGGTTGTGTTATGAAGTGAAAAGTAATAACTGGTAACTTCTGCAGGTACCAAAGCATACCAAAAAACAAATGTAATGATGAATATGATAGTTTTTCACGCTTTTATTCTCATAGTAAACAGCTGGAGAATGGTAGGTAAGAATTCTGATAATTTTCCATTTGTGGGCAGCTGTAGTAAAATGACAAATGAAGGTCCTGTTCTCTGATCATTTAATTTATTTCAGGGAGATCATTAAGTTTCCACGAAATAGGAATTGTAATGATCGTACTCCTTACTTTCAAGATACTATTTTTTAGAGGACTCCGGGAGGCACCTTACTTTTTAAATAAATTTTAAAATATGTGGTGGTCTTGTAGCATAGTAGGTAGGATCATGGGTTCTGGAATTCTTGTGAAGTTATCATAACACACATTAAGTGCTTTAACACAACTTTTCTGCAGATATATATTATTTTATTTAACATTTGTAATTAAGACAAAGATCTTCATTGTTTTTTACTTATGTATGCTAAGCACCTAAAAGTGTCTGACACAGAGTAGGTACTTAATAAATATTTGCTGTTAGATGAATGACTTTGACTATGATGGGCACCATTCTAGGCCCTGGGGACGTAGCAAAAAAAATAAAGTCAAAAGCCTTGCTCTCATTGAGTCTGTGTTATAATGAATCTTATATTCTAGCAATACTAAGACATTACTATTGAAATCTTACGAAGAATGCTTTTAAAATATAATGAAAACCTTGTATAGTATTCAATTACATGGGTGGAAAAATACATGTATTCTGATATAATATGATATGTTATGAGGGGTATGTTTTATGGACCCAGCTTGTGATGTATCATGGTAAATAGTACTTGCTCCTTACTTTTCGGGTTTTTTTTTTTTAATTGTTTGTTTGTTTTTAACAAAATGAGTTACTATCATTAACTGTAATGTGTTTAGTTCTAATTATGTTAGGTTAAAATATATGAAATTGTTTTTTTTGTAGGGCAAAACAATTGAATATTAGTAATTTCAAGTGGTTTAAACTAATAAAATAAAAGCTCCTAGAGTTTTTGTTGAAGTTAGAACAGTGCCTTTCTTTCTTTCCTTTCTTCTTTTTTAAAATCAGTCCCTGTTAGGTCACATTTTGCAAAGATCAAAAGTTTGAATCTTAAGGTTCCATTCATTAATTCATTCATCCATGCCTTCATTTAATAAACATAGATACAGTGATAAATAAGATAAAGTTTTACCCTTATTGGAAGTTAAAGTCTAGCACTTTTTTTTTTTAAAGATTTTATTTATCAGAGAGTGAGAGAGAGCAAGGGGTGGGGGAGGGGGAGGGAGAAGCAGATCCCCACTGGGAGCAGGGAGCCAGATGCAGGGGCTCCATCCCAGGATTCCAGGATCATGGCCTGAGCCAAAGGCAGAGGCTTTAACCGACTTAGCCACCCAGGTGCCCCTAAAGTCTAGCACTTTGAAGTCTCTAATAAATGTTATGTTGCTTATATTGCAGTGTCCAGTAGAAAATCTCCAGGAATTTGCTCACCATATCATAGTAATTGAGCAAATATTGTACTGTTTGGTGTTAGACCCATGTTTCTAGTTGAAACCAGTTACTGGACTAATCTTGATTACAAAACCAGAAAATACATGGACCCCTAAAAAATTCTATTGAAGATTATCATACTCTTTTAAAAATGATTTGTGTATAAAGCATGTACCACTTACATTATTTTTGGTCTTCTGGGGCTTTTCATGTTTCCTGGTCATTAAGAGATGAGGTATTAGGCTGAACACTGTATTTCAAAACTAAATATAGGGGCGCCTGGGTGGCGCAGTTGTTAAGCGTCTGCCATCCACTCAGGTCATGATCCCATGGTCCTGGGATCGAGCTCTGCATCGGGCTCCCTGCTCAGCAGGAAGGCTGCTTCTCCCTCTCCCACTCCCCCTGCTTGTGTTCCCTCTCTCGCTATGTCTCTCTCTGTCAAATAAATAAATAAAATCTTTAAAAAAAACTAAATATAAATTATCGCTCATGATTTTGTGTAACCTATTTTTGAGCACTTCTGTGTTCTGTGTGTAATTGGAGCAAAACCTTTAATTCCTTTTCACCTAACTCTTGTGCCCTGTAGGTATACCAAGGCCAGTAGAATTAGTTCTAGACTTGGGAGAGTTCTAATCTCTCTTAAAAAATGGAGAGATGATAAACTTTAAGCAGATTTAATAAATACACTGTTGTCATTTCCTTCATAACATCTTAATAATGGTTATTAACAGTTGTAACAGATTCAGGCTGCCCATTCCTTTTTTGGTTTACTAAATTAGCAGATCTTAGTATACTGCCCTCTAAAACCTCATTGGAAGTCTAACTGCTCTTTAGTGTACCCTAGATTTAGTTGAAGAAAGCATTCCTGTCCCATTACGGTTTCCTTTTTGTTTTGTTTTTCTCTAATCCAAACACTTGCTAGTTTACTGAATAATTCTTCATCTTTATTGATTTATCTAGCATTCATTGTTTGTTGGTGCTGAGTTGGATGCTAGGTTACTTTAAAAGGCATTGTGTTGGAGAGGCCTATGTTTGGATCATTGTTTTGTTTCTTTTTACCTCTGTGATTTGGTAAATCTGAACTTCAGTTTCCTCAGCTATAAAAACTGGAGCTATTAAATACCAGTCTACCTGAACTATATTAATATTAAATGATGTCACATATATAAAGCATTCAGTAAAGTGCCTAGTGCATAGGAGGCCCCCTCAGTACTTGTTTATTGGATGGGGAAACTCATAGGAAGTGTGTTAGGAGCTTAGGAGTGATTCAATAGAGGTAAAACAGCATGCTTGGAAGGGATTGTGGGCAGTCTTACTAGATGGCTATGGCAGCAGGATAGGCTGGAGAAAGAAGAGACTGGAAATACATATATGGGATGAGGATTTGAACTAAGAAACAGATAGTGGGAATTAAAAAGGGAGGATAGATTTAGAAGATATTTCTGAGTTAGAGAGGTGAGATATGACTGTTGGATATGAGAGAGAAAAAGAATCAAAGATAAAGGGCTGTCTAGCTTTGACTAAGAGGTAATATTAATATTTTTAACCAAGAAGGAAGACCAAGTGTGGGAGAAGAGGTAACGAGTTTGGCTTTAGAAATGTGTTTGTACAGATTGGGAGCTATCTAATAGAAATGTCTCATAGCTACTTGTAAATGTTTATGTGGAGTTTTAGCTTGGTAGTCATGACATAAAAGTGACAGCAAGTGGATACATTCACCTAGAAAAGTTTTATGTAATAAAATGAGAAAAGAAGCTTGGGAGAAATTGATGCTTTAGGGTTGAGCAGGAAGAAGTCTGTAAAGGGTTTTAAAAATTATCAAGAAAGGAAAGTGATGAGAAAATATTTACTGAGTAGTGAATATGTGTCAGAAAAAGCCTATAGCACCAGGTATACCTGGAGGTCTAAATACCAGGTCAAATGCTGCTTACCTTCTGAGATGTGAAAAACTTGGGCTTAGGAGGGAGAAATGTCATTGAAGCCAAGAGAAAAAGCACTTTAAAGGTGGAAGGGATTGATCAGTAGTGCCTCATGCTATAGAAAGGTCCAGTAGATGAGGATTCCAAAGAGGGCTTTGGATTTGGCTATTATTATTATTAATTTATTTTTAAGTAGACTCCATGCCCAACATACAGCTTGAACTCATGACCCTGAGATTCTGAGTCATATGCTCTACCAATAGAGCCAGCCAGGTGCCTCTGGATTTGGCAGATTCATGGTGGTCCTAGGGTCAGGATTTATGTTAGGGAAATAATAATATACTAAATCTCTTTTTTAAGACTGAGGAAGTTCTGCTCTAAGAAAATCCATTCATTTAATCCAGCATTTGCCAAACATGTGACCATGGAGCAAGGGATTTGAGGATGATTGGCGAAAGTGGAAATGACTAGTCAGGTTCAGACTGAGTAGGAAGGAAAGCGCAACCAGGAATGGGTTATCAAGAAGATGCAAATCATTTTGAGATCAAGAAAGTGATTTAAAGAGAGGTAGAAGGTAGAAGTATGTGGTCAGAGAAGGTGCCTGGGTATTTTAAGAGTCCAAAGGTGGACTGTTACTAAATTATTTTAACAGTCGTTATTTTTGTTGAACTGGAGTGATAGACTAAAGAGGAGTGGAGTGTGAAGGCTATGTGTTGAGTAGGTTAAGTGTGAATGTTGAAATCTAGGATGAGCTGAAAGAGGAAAATCTTTTGAGATTATTAGGGATTGTTGACCTGAAAGTAATTAGATTCTGAAAAGGATTGTTGGAAGAGGATGGTATAATATATGCTATATGCTTCAAAATGAAGGTTTGTTTTAAAGGTTGAATTCAGATAAGCGGTGACCCGTGGTGAAGAAATACACATGCTACACAGAGGCCAGAACTGTTCTTAATTTCTAAGATTTCTTTTCTTTTGAAAATATTCTTTCCTATTTCTTGGGTGCCTGGGTGGCTCAGTCGTTAAGCATCTGCCTTCGGCTCAGGTCATGATCCCAGGGTCCTGGGATCAAGTCCGACATCGGGCTCCCTGCTCGGCAGGAAGCCTGCTTCTTTCTCCCTCTCCCACTCCCCTTGCTTGTGTTCCCTCTCTCGCTGTCTCTCTCTGTCAAATAAATAAATAAAATCTTAAAAAAAAGAAAAAAATGTACTTTCCTATTTCTTAAATATATCCATTTTAGAATGTCATAACTATTTAGATAACAGCATATTATTTCACATCTATATATAATAGGTACATATAATAGTATTATATAAAGATACCATTTCAAGCCTTATGGTGCAGGTTTTGAAGTTGCTAAATACAGTAATGTATAACAGAATCAACACTGTGTGTGAGATAAATTTTATCAGGAGAGGTTAGCTTCTGGAAAGTTTTAGAATATTAAGGTACTTTATTTATGTGGTTTTGTCCGTTAATTTGAGTGCTTCTTTCAACAGTGCTTGCTCTCTACTACAATAGTCAGCCCTTTGCGTATTGTCTCTACTATATTTTTATAAGCCTCACAATTTGCTAGCTTTTGCCACACAGGAGAGATTAGTGGAGTTTGCCTGCATGTGCTGGAGAGTAGTATTTTATTTCATTGGTTGTAAAAGCATTTTCATGTATAACATCTCAGATGATCCCTTAAATTTTAAGGTAGATTGAGCAGATAATATCCTCATTTAACAAATGTTAAACTGAGGCTATTTATATGATTAGTCATACATTTTCTTCTAATTCATGTAGTGAAGACTTTTCCAACAAGGAGAGAGACATCTTGTTCTTTGCTATAGTTCCTTGCAGATTCTCAGTTCTGTATGTAGTCAAGTGGAAGTGATTTTGTCAACATTCTACATGCTACCTGAAGCATTCGTTCCACCATCTGCAATTGGTCAACTGGTTTAATCATCCTTATATATGACCAAATTTTTGTTTAATTTAATACCGTAAGAGTGGTATGTTATCATCCATGTACTTTTCTTGCTAATGTGATCTTAAGGTAGATTTTATTAAATACATATAGTATATTTATTATGGTGTGTTAGAGATAGAAGGGGGCCATGTAGGTTATTTAACCTAACTTCCCTCCAAATTTTATACAAGAGGAAGCTGAACCTTAGTGAGGTTAAATATCTTGCCCAGGGAGTTTATAGTTCTATGTGATAGAGCGGGGACTTGTGAGACAAATTTCAGTGCCTTTTTTGCTAAGCTGTCATGTCTTTTCATGAATACATTACAACCAAAATATAGCTTTGTGATTCTGAACCTAAGCTGCTTATCATGACCTGTTGGTAGAAGGGGGTGTTGACACTAACATACATGCACATATTTTGTGAATTATAGGGCTATACTGTATGACCAGCTAATATAAGAGGGAGGGAACTATAAATTTATATCTTTATTTATTTTGAATGAAGTAATGACTTATTTTTTTCTTTTTTGAGATAATTGTTCTTAAATGCTTTCTCTTTAATGCTGTTTCCTCTTTTTTATGCCTTTTAGTGATAAAGATTGTTTTTTCTTTTAAAGACAATTTGAACATATTTGATGACTTGTAGGAATTAATACCAAGAATTGGATTTTATTATATGCTGGTATTGTAGTTGCTATTACAGTAAAAACTGGGAGATGATTTGGTTCTTAGATATATAGTGAAGAAGTAAATTATGTAGACTGTTAGCTTTATAAGAACAATGATTGTGTTAGTCCACCCTAGTATTATTATTACTTGATATGTGTTTGGCAAGTGGTAGGTGCCCAAGTAGGCACTCACTTTATTTCCATGGGTTGAAAATATTTTTCTCAATAGTTAATTTTTATAAAATTTTGCTTTGTCATTTATTCAACTGAAATATACTTTAGTGTAAGTAAAATATGTGATACTCTTTAACATTTTGTATTGATGAATTTTTAAATCATTGCTTAGAATTTAAAGGAATATATGAAAATTATAAATAAACAAACTTAATACATTATGTATCATGTGGCATCACTTTGCCCATCATTATGAAGACATTCTTTTTTTTTTTTTTTAAGATTTTATTTATTTATTTGACAGAGAGAGTCAGAGGGAGAGAAGGAACACAAGCAGGGGGAGTGGGAGAGGGAGACCAGGCTTCCCGCAGAGTAGGGAGCCCAATGTGGGGCTCCATCCCAGGACCCTGGGATCATGACCTGAGCCGAAGGCAGACGCCTAACGACTGAACCACCCAGGCGCCCCTTATGAAGACATTCTTAATGTATGCTACAGATTCTATCCAGCAATTGCCTCAACTTTTTAGTAGTGGAATTAAGTCCCTATAAATGAGGTTGCTCTCCCTAAATAACCTAACCTCTGGTATTGGAGAACAATTCAGGGAAATCTTTGCTTTTGTAGTGCCCACTGCTTAACTGCCACCATAGAGACATTGCCTCCATCTAAGATGACAGTCACTATCTACCATTAAAATAGGGCAGTGGAGTACTAAGAGAATGAGAGACCAAAACGGTTTTTCTGTTACGGTTTGATTGTATTCCCACCCATGTTTATTCTGATTTTTCTTTCAGTTTTCTTGAACTCACTAACTGCTTTGGAACAAACTATATGAAGTCATAATTGTACTTTTCTCATGAGTTTCTTTAGGTTACTTATAAAACAAAGTGGCTTTCTATTTGTCTTTCATGTGATAAAGGAATTTTAACAGTAAAATATTCAGTAGAAAATATGTTTAAGGTATAGATTCAAGTATCATTTTTAGAAAATTACAGGTATGGAAATAAATTTAGGTTTGATAATTGGCTAGATAACAAAATGACAAATTGACTCAGCTATGTAGAATTCCAAAGAATGTAGTTGTTTCTTTTAAATCAATTTAGTAACAAAATGTGTTTTATGAAAATGTATGATAGGTGCATTAAGTTTTGACTGAGTAAAAGTTTCAGCTGCTTGTCCCTTATTTAATGAATTGTGCCATAGTACATAATATCTCAGTTTGCTGGTCCATTGAATTCTTATATAATATTATATGTATAAAATAATGAACAATTCATATAATAAAGGTAGCTTAGTAACTAGGTGATTCTTTCTTTAAGGCATTATACTTCCTATTGTCTGCTGTTAAACAGAACAAGATTCTTTTTATCTTAGAATCCTTAGATCATCTCAGGAAGCCATCTCACTGATCACCAATGTTATATCTTAATGCTTTGAAGATTAATAATATATAATATTAACCTTAAGGTAAACTTGGTGTTTAAAGTTTGGTAATTTACAGTAGAGAGAGGGTATAAGTTCAGAGAATATAACAAATTGGTTTGGTTAAAATTAAAGAAAACAAAAGATTTCCAACAATATCAGTTTGGTGATACTTAAATCATGACTTCAGTATTTGGCATGTCCTTTTTGACCACTGGTAACTCTAAGTCTTGTGCCTATTTTAATAATATTGCTTATTCCAAAATGAAACAAGACATTTTCTATAAGAACTGACAACTTACATATGAAGACATTAAAATTCGGAAGTTTCACAATTTGAGCAACGAATTTATTAATTAAATTCTTTCCTGTTTTAGAAAATGGAAGTGTCCAAGTGGGAGAATTGTTACCTTGCAAGATTTGTGGAAGAACGTTCTTTCCAGTGGCATTAGTGAGTACCTTTTTCCTTTGGATTATGATAGATCTGTAATTATTTGATACTTTTTTTTTTTTTTTTTTTTTAAGTTTTTTTTTTTTTTTTTGAGAGAGAGAGAGAGAGAGAGAGAGCACATGAGAGGGGGGAGGGTCAGAGGGAGAAGCAGACTCCCCGCCGAGCAGGGAGCCCGATGCAGGACTCGATCCAGGGACTCCAGGATCATGACCTGAGCCGAAGGCAGTCGCTTAACCAACTGAGCCACCCAGCCTCCCTTATTTGATACTTCAGGACAACTCTCATGGAAAGAACCTCTGTGGAATAATTTAAGGAGATACTGACCAGTGTTCTTTGTTCAAGAGCATCAGTTCCATCTATGTCTTTCTTCTAGAGTGGTCTCTTTCCTTCATAGTTTGGTCTTCAGAACTACTCTGTTAAAGTGTTAAAGTGTTTCTCTGTGAGAATATTAACAAAAATGAAACAAAGACTCAGAAATGCATAATTATGTATTTAAAGATAAAGAATGATATGTGTCTGGGATTTGCTTTAAAGTACCTCAGGAAAAAAAGCTGGGATAGATGACAAGATTGCTAAATTGTTGATAATTGTTGATGAGTAAATGGGAGTGCATGACACTATTCTCTTAATTCTTATGTATATTTGAAATATTCAAAGAAAAATTGTTTTCAATTAAAAGTGTACCTAAGAGACGCCTGGGTGGCTCAGTCGGTTAAGTGGCTGCCTTCGGCCCGGGTCATGATCCCAGGGTCCTGGGATCGAGTCCCACATCGGGCTCCTTGCTCAGCAGGGAGCCTGCTTCTCCCTCTCTCTCCTTCTGCTTGTGCTCTCTGTCAAATAAATAAAATCTTTAAAAAAAAAAAATAAAAGTGTACCGAAAACATATTATGCATTTCTTTAGATACTTTTATTTAGTAACACAAATAGAAGTACTCTTAATTGATTTTAATATAAAATAGCCAACTAACTAGAGAATAAGGGAAAAAATGCCCATGTACCTAAAGTATTTTATTCTTACTTTAAATATAAAAATACATTTATTAATATTTTGATGTAGAATAAAGACTTTTCTTTGAATATGAATGCTGATTAGAGTTCTGTCACAATCCAGAATGCATGTTACTATTTCCAGTTTGTTTCTTTAAAGCAAAGCAAGGATTTAATGATCCAAAGTGTCTGTTGGACTATCAACTCCTTTTAAATAATGACAGCTTTTTTCCTTTGTCCTTTAAAAACATCTTGCCCACACTTAACTCAATGATTTTTTTTGTTTTCATGTCATCTCACTATTTTCCAAACCATGTTCAAAATATTGAGCTCAGTTTACATAGGAAAGAAAATGCCTTCTTTTGCCCTTATTTACTTAATATTTAATTAAATAATGTAATCACTATACAGCTACAACTTATATAATACATCAGATTTGGGAACAAGTACTACATACTTTTGACACAACTCAGTGTAAGAACAGACATCTATTAGAAAGTTGCCTGTTAGCCACACTTCTAATTTTTTTTTGTATTTAAGAGATTTTTATTCTAATAGCTATAATTAATAGTACTTGCTTTTTAAAATGAAAACTGAAAACAAGGGGGCGCCTGGGTGGCTCAGTCATTAAGCCTCTGCCTTCAGCTCAGGTCTCCCTGGGCTCCCTGCTCGGCGGGAAGCCTGCTTCTCCCTCCCCCACTCCCCCTGCTTGTGTTCCCTCTCTCTCTCTGTGTCTCTCTCTGTCAAATAAATAAATGAAATCTTTAAAAAAAATTAAAAATAAAATGAAAACTGAAAACAAGTATGTAAAACAATTAATTTCTAAGTGTGTATTGAAAATGTAAGAGTTTGCATGATATCAAACGAACCAGTTATGAGGTTTCCTCTTTTCTCAGATAAAGTTTAACAGTTGTAGCTTGTTCAGTGTTATCAAAATACAAAAGAAAAAAAGTGCGTATAGTGCACTTAGGTCATCCATTAACGTGTTTTATTTGGAAGAAGGAGAATGATTATTTATCCAGTAGGTTAATTGGAGGTCAGTTATGAGAGCATCCATTGTAATGTCCTTAAAATGAATACATGAATGATTGAATGAATGAGTTGGCAGCCATATTTGAAAAGCCTATAGAAGTGGAACGCTAGATAGCTCAAGAAAAATCATGGGTAAAGAAAGGTAAACTTGTTCCAGGAGGGAAGAAAGATGATTGTGGAGGAAGGACACAAATCGGACCACCAAGTCCTATTATTTTATGTTAACTTTATGGTAACATGCTACGGTTATGTTAATAACTTTAGTAACCCAGACTACTACTATTGTGTTAACTTTTGTAATCCTCACACTAATGCAGTCTCTGTTTACATTTTTTCCAATATCTGTTTTCATATATTTAGTAATGAAGATAATTATTTTTCACTCAAATAACTTTGACTTGGTTACATTATTTTCCTTATTCTTAGCAGTGTGAAAACTGGAAGAGTATTTATCTATACTTTCTTGTTGTATATAGTATTCATACTTTCTTGAGAAAGATAACTTACAGCATGCATTATATATACTTTCTAACGATTTTAGTTAAAGCAAAATATTCTTATATATTATTATTATTTCATCTTCTAGTTTTTAAATTGGTCTCAAATGACAATTTGAAGTTTTTATAGACTTCCTTTCTATAGAAAAGAAAATGATACATTGCATTTCTTTATCTTAACAGAAAAAACATGGACCCATTTGCCAGAAAACTGCCACTAAAAAACGGAAGACTTTTGATTCAAGCAGACAGAGAGCTGAAGGAACTGATATTCCAACAGTAAAGCCTCTTAAACCTAGGGTAATTATATAGCTTTTTGAATAGTATGAACTTTGCTGCTATATATATTGAAAAAAAATGATCTGTTCTAAGATTGAAGAATAACGAAAATTCTGCTTCGTGTTTTCAGTTTAGAAACGATCAGAAACTTGTTTATTTTTAAACTTCTGCTAAGGGGAAACCAAACTACCGTCTCAAAACCTATTATAATGAGGTTTTTGTAGCATTGATTAGCCAATTGCTTAGCTGTAGGCTGGCAAGAATTAAAAAGTCCTCACATGTTCTTTTTAACTCATTGTTAATTATTGAAGCCTAATTTAAGTGTAGTGTATAAGTTTAAGCCTCTTATCAGTACTATAGTCCCTCTCTACAAAAGCAAAGCTATAATTTACAGATACCTCAGCATAATAGATATTGATTAGCTTGATTGATTGTCAGTAATTGTGATCTTAGGCTCTCTGGGGAAGCTTGGTCAGTTACTCAGCTGTCCCTGTATAGCTGTTGTCAGTTTTATTTTCTTTGAAAGCAGTGAATCTCCTTTAATAATCTCTTTAATACTGCCTGTGGTGTGTTATATTGCTAAGAATAAAGCACATACTTTGTTCGACATAGTTTTAAAGAGTTCAGTGAAATAGTCGAAATTTGAGTACCTCATTGAATAGGTTTTTGAAATAAACCCTGCGTCAGTGATAATAACTTCTCCCAGTGCTACAGGAAAACATTTCCCTGTGGGGTAATTAATCTTACTAATAAAATCATTTGATAATAGAAAAGTCGAATGTGCATCTTTTTTTTCAGTCTATGTATAAGTGAAGGATGGTGAAATTTGAATAATGTACATAAACCATTATTTGATATTTTTCTTAGTACATCTGCAGATATATGATTATATTGGCTTTAATTAGCCAAGAGATAAACTATTGAAATTTTTCGACAGTGTAATACAGTGGGTATGAAAATGACAGCTGGCTCAAGAGTCATATTGCCTGGATTTAACCCTTGCTCTGTTACTTACCATGCTGTGTTGGGCAAGTTACTTAATCTATACATCTCTTTATCTGTAAAATGGTGATAGTAATGGTAGTGTCTGTCTTGTGGGTTCTTATTGAATTTATCCACAGTGATCTGTTAATAAATGTTATACTATTTTTTTTTAAAGATTTATTTATTTACTTATTAGAGAGAGAGTGTGCACGAGCAGGGGTAGGGGCAGAGAGAGAGGGGGAGAGAATCTCAAGCAGACTCTGTGCTGAGCATAGAGCCTGAGGGTGGGCTCGATCCCACAACCCTGGGATCATGACCTGGGCCCACATCAAGAGTCGGACACTTAACCAACTAAGCCACCCTGGTGCCTCTATCCTATTTCTTTCTAAGGGAGAAGGGTTCTAATGAAAAAAATTAATCTTCAGATAAAAGCAAAGTAAAAACCATTGCTTTGCATGAAGTAGTTTAATTTCTTGGTACTCAAAAGTGTGGTTCATAGAACAGTAATACCAGCACTATTTGGCAACTTGTTAGAAATGCAGAATCTCAGGTCCCACCCAGAAATGCTGAGTTAGAATCTGCATTTTAACAAAATCCTTGGGCAAGTCATATGCACCTTAAAGTTTGAAAAACTGTGTATTAGATTTTTTAATTTTTATTTAATTAAAGATTTTATTTGTTTATCTGACAGAGAGAAACACAGCAAGAGAGGGAACACAAGCAGGGGGAGTGGAAGAGGGAGAAGCAGGTTTCCTGCCGATCAGGGAGCCCGACACGGGGCTCGATCCCAGGACCCTGGGATCGTGACCCGAGCCGAAGGCAGTTGCTTAACGACTGAGCCACCCAGGCACCCCTAGAAGATTTTTTTTAAAAGCTTTTATTTATTTAATTGTCAGAGAGCGAGCGAGCACAAGCAGGGGGAGCAGCAGGCAGAGGGAGAAGCAGGCTCCCCACTGAGTAAGGAGCCTGATGCAGAACTCGATCCCAGGATCCTGGGATCATAACCAGAGCCAAAGGCAGACGCTTAACCAACTGCACCACCCAGGGATCCCAAACATTTATTTTTATTTATTTATTTTTTTAGATTTTATTTATTTATTTGAGAGAGAGAGTGAATGAGTGAGAGAGAGAGAGCATTGGCAGGGGGAGGAGCAGAGGGAGAGGGAAAAGCAGACTCCCGCTGAGTATGGAGCCTGACACAGGGCTCCATCCCAGGACCCTGGGGATCATGACCTGAGCCGAAGGCAGTTGCTTAAACTGACTGAGCCACCAGGTGCCCCTGTATTAGAAGATTTTAACATCATAGTGAAAATACAGAAATTATCTGTATCAAGGAAATCCTACAAAATCACAAGCAGAGTGGAGTAAAGCAGATGGGAACTCCATTTGGGGAAAAACTAAAGGCAGGCCTAATCCACAGAGTACAAAATATATGTAATGGCTGCCCAAAGCAACTGAGTTCCAGAAGAACCTACCCACAGAGGAAGTGCAGAAAGTTGCTGAAGGACCCATGGCCCAGAATGGGAACCTGTCACCTTAAAGGTGAAGGGTCTCCTCGCCTTAAAGTGACTCCTTAAATGTGAGGGGTCTAATCAGGAATTATAGATCCCTTGTTTACTACAGCCAACGCAGGAATTGGGGTGAGTATAAGAACTTGGAATGCCAGGAATTGGAATGAGCCTGGCTGAAATTGGACAAAAACCAGGAAGGAGGAAGTAGGGAGATAAGTAAGGCACAGAGAGTTGAAGGGGCCCAAAGGCAGAAGCTCTCCAAAAAGCACTAACGAAAAGAAAATACCCTTTCTGAAGGTAAGGGGCCCATCTAAAGGGCTAGGTCCTTTTTTTTTTTTGGAAGTGGTTAGTGTGGTTACTGAGGGAAGCATGGTTGGCAGTAGGAGCCTTCCTGGACCCACGTTGCTTTAGAGAAGCACAAGAGGTTTGTCCCTGTGATCACAGAGAGGCCTTATTTGCATCTGAATTTGGTACAGTGCTGGAGAGCTAGCTGTCGGTTTGTGTAGCCTGGCCAGGGACTGTGCACCACTCCTTCTCCCCAGACCCTCCTATAAATAGCTGTAATAGGAAAACCTAATTCATTCAATGATGAGTAATAAAAAAAGCATTAATTTAGCATTGGCACAAGGATGCAGTGAGAAGAAAGATGGATGAGAGCAGCAGACCCTATCAGTAGATGAGTTATACTTATGGAGCAGATGAATGTTGTGATCAGACCTTTCACCATAAAATAAGAAACTATAAACAATCAGTCACATTCAACATCTGAATTTGCTTGTGTTTAGTTAAGATTTTGTATCTCTATTTACGAGAGGTAAGCTTGTAATTTTTCTTTTTATCAGACGTTCATTGCTCTCTTAAGACTAGTTAGAAAGTTGTTCTCGGGGTGCCTGGGTGGCGCAGTCACTTAAGCGTCTGCCTTCAGCTCAGGTCATGATCCCAGGGTCCTGAGATTGAGCCCCACATCAGGCTCCCTGCTCGGCGGGAAGCCTGCTTCTCCCTCTCCCTCTGCTGCTCCCCCTGCTGTGCTCTCTCTCTCTCTCTCAAATAAATAAATAAAATCTTAAAAAAAAAAAGGTACTCTTTTATTTTTTGAAAGAGTTTTTAAAAAATGATGCCATTTCTTCCTAAATATCTGCAAGAATTCAACAGTAAAGGCATCTGGGCCAATTTTCTTTACGTTTTTAAAAAATAGGTTCACTAAAAAAAAATTAAGACTGTTGGAATTTTGTTTCTTCTGGTATCTGTTTTGTGGTGTTTGTCAAGGATATTGTCCACTTAATGTTGTCAGATTTATTAGCATAAAGGTCCATTATAGTGTCTTCTTTTTTCCTCATGTTTGTAAGAACTGTATCGTGTATATTTTCCATCCCTTGGTATTTTGTGTTTTCTTTTTTTCCCTTATTAGTCCTGCCTTATTAGTGTTTTTAAAGAATCATCTTTTGACTTTGCTGATTCAATGTATATTCTTGATTTAAAAAATAAAGACATAATAAGGATAGTTGGGTATTTGAATAATACAACAAAATAAATGTTTGGTAGCACAGGAGTCAGCATTATGTATAGTGGAAAGGTACTTAGAGGTAGCCATTAAAAACAGGAACAAGATTAATCTCCAAGCAATATAGTAATTGCTGTAACTGATACAGTTAGATATTTGATGCATAGGGATTAGAAAAGAGGAGGTAAAGGTATCATTATTAGGAGATGATATACCTGGAAAACCCGAGATAATCAACTGCTAAATTATTACAAACAATAAGAGAAGCCAGTGAAATAATGAGATATAATGATAATATACAGAAATTACTAGGTTTCATATTTCAACAAACCCCTTGAAACAAAAAAGAAGAAAAGACTCTTTATAAAAGAACAACACAAAATAAAAAAACATTTAAGGATAAACCTTTTAAAGGTATAAAACTTTCACAAAGAATACTTAAAAAAACAGAAGGACACAAATACTTCTTCAAATGGAAATATTATATCATATTTTTGGATAGGTAGATTCAACAAAATAAAGATACTAAGTTCCTTAAGTTGTTTATGAATGTAATGTTTAAGTTTTCCAATTAAAATATAGTTTAAACAATTAGGCTGATTCTAAAGTTCATATGGAAAAATGTACATACAAGAATAACCAGAAAAAATTGAAAAAGAGGCAGCATAAAGTAGGGTTATCCTATCAGATATTAAAATATTATTATAAAGTCTCAATATTTAAAACACTGGTACTAACACAAGGATAGTCAGAACAGTGGAACAGAAGAGAATGTTCAGAAATCGGCCCAAATACAAAAGAGAATATGGTAAAGGTGTTAACAGTTCAGTGGGGAGCAAAGTCAATAAAGAGCTGAGATAGCTGCATAGCCATGTTAAAAATGAAAAATAAAGTTGAATCTATATGTCACACTATAACTCATGATAAATTCCAAATGAATAAAAGTTTTAAAATTTTAAAATGAAACCATGAAAATTCTAGGGGGAAACATGGGAAAATTCCATTTTACTGTCGTGTGAGGTTGGGCCTTGCTAACAGTGACTACAAATCTGCAGACCATAAAAGAAACAAGTAAATTAACCTATATTTTAAAAATAATTCTTCATATCAGAAGATCCTTAGACAAGGTTATAAGACAGCCATATTGTAGGGGAGAGCTGAGGCTAGTCTATAAAGAATTAACTAGAAATTGCTAAAATTAAGACCAGTAACCAACAGGTAAGTTGACCAGGCACATAAAAAGTTCACAAAAAAAAAGGCAATGCATTAGATGATTCTTTTTTTTTTTTTTTTAAGATTTTATTTATTTGACAGAGACACAGCGAGAGAGGGAACACAAGCAGGGGGAGTGGAAGAGGGAGAAGCAGGCTCCCCGCGGAGCAGGGAGCTGGATGCGGGACTCGATACCAGGACTCTGGGATCATGACCTTAGCCGAAGGCAGATGCTTAACGACTGAGCCACCCAGGCACCCCAATGCAGATGATTCCCAATGATACAAAAAGATGCTCAACTCATTATTAAGAGGAAAGCTGGTTAAAACCAGAGAGAGAACTATTTTTCACCTCTCCAGTCAGTTAAATAAACAAAAGTTTTTTGCTTTCCAATATACTCTGTTGGAGAAAGTGTAGTAAAATAGGGAAATTACACCAGGTTAGTGGAGGCTTACATGGATGCAGCACCTACAGAAGTTAATTTAGCAGTGTTTATCCAATTATAATTGCATTTTAAAAATAGCACATAATACAATTACGTGAAGTTTCTTTTTAAAAGTATAAATTTTAATTAAGGAAAGCAATTTAAGGACTCCTAATAAGAGAACATTTAAAACAATATAGCATTTCCTCAAGTTTTATTTCAATTAATTTTTTTAAAAGATTTTATTTATTTATTTGAGATAGAGCACGAGCAGGGGGGAGAGGCAGAGGGAGAAGCAGGTTCCCCCTCAGCAGGGAGTCTGACGCAGGACTCAATCCCAGGATCCTGAGATCATGACCTGAGCCAACAGCAGATTCTTACCGACTGAGCCACTGAGCCGCCCTATTTCAATTAATTTTTTAAAAATGTTTTGAGGGACGCCTGGGTGGCTCAGTCGTTAAGCATCTGCCTTTGGCTCAGGTCCTGATCCCAGGGTCCTGGGATCAAGCCCCGCATTGGGCTCCCTGCTCCACGGGAAGCCTGCTTCTCCCTCTCCCACTCCACCTGCTTGTGTTCCTGCTCTCGCTCTCTGTCAAATAAATAGATAAAATCTTTAAAAATAAATAAATAAATAAAAATAAAAATGTTTTGAAATGGGCTTTTCTTTATTTGTTTGTAGCCTGAACCACCAAAGAAACCATCTAATTGGAGAAGAAAACATGAAGAATTCATTGCCACCATAAGAGCAGCTAAAGGCCTTGATCAGGCACTTAAAGAGGGTGGAAAACTTCCTCCTCCTCCTCCACCTTCTTATGATCCTGGTATGTAGAATATTGTTGACAGAAATCTTCATATGGAGAGAAAATATTGATAGAATTTTTATTAATTTTAAGTTGTTAATAAAATTAATTTATAATAATGGAAACTGATGAAACATAATCTTTAAAAAGTTTAACTATAAAATAATGGTGCTAATCCAGGCATTTAGGCTTATAAAGACACATTGGTGTTGAACATAGAAATACTTTATCTTTTTATCTCAATACTGTTATTTAAACATAAAAGATTTTAATATCATTTGAAAAATCATTGTAATATATCCCAGGAAATATTTGAAGAAGCTCACTATCATTTGAAATGTAGTCATTTGGAAGATTCAAATTGTTATGTTGCCTAGTTCTTTGGTATTTTCTCATCCAGGAAAATACATCTCATATTGTTTCTAAAAGGTACCTGTTTATGTGGGGAAACCACCATATAGATTGATTTACCTAAATTATGCTTTAAATTCATGTGTTAATATAGTTTCTTCATTAGGTGGATAAAAGTTGCTTATTTGTTAGCAAAAGCAAGGCAAGATGCTGGAAACCCAATATGAGATACTGAAATACTGAAAGATTTAAAATATACACAATTGACAATTTGACATTGGCTAGGAGAGTAGTTTAAAGAGGTAGTTATTTTAATATAAGAAGTTAGCTGTAGCACAAACAATGAATCATGGAACACTACATCGAAAACTAATGATGTAATATATGGTGATTAACATAACAATAAAAAAATTAAAAAAAAAATTAAAGAAGTTAGCTGCATTAAAATTGTGTTACTATTCTTGATTGAGATTTATTTCTTAGTAAAGGGAAGTTCTTATATAAAATAAGTCAGGGAGATGAAAACATGGCATAGGGAATATAGTCAATAATATAATTACATTGGTGACAGAATGGTGGTGTGGATTGCATATTGTATAGAATTGGCGCATCACCATGTTGTATACCTGAAACTAGTGTAACATTGTATGTCAGCTATACTTCAGTAATTTTTAAAAAAAATAAGTCCTTTAGAAAATCTAGATACGATCATTTTTAACATTTTATTATAGTAGAGAGGTTGACAAACTATTTCTATAAAGGGCCAGATAGTAAGTATCTTAGTTAATGAGGTATATTTTTATCTCTTTTTTCATCTAAGAGAAAATACAACTGTATAAAGTTGATTAAACTATTTCTTGACGGTTTTCCTCTAATTAAAAGATTTTAACAGATTAGCCCAAATTTTAAAATTCATTTTTAATGTAATGTGTTATTACTGCTTAACTTAGTCTCCAGTATAAAAATATGTAGATATGGTGAAAACATATGGTATATTATAAAGGCAAAGAAGAAATCCTGTTTTTCCTCTCTGTATTCAGTCTTTTGTACTAAGGATTTATCTTTTGGGGTTTTTTTCCCCCCCTCAAATTTGATTCTAGGCTGGCAGAAAATTGGAATTTATCATATACTAGCAAACTTTTTTCTTAAATGTCTTTACTAAATTTAGTAGTCAGGTTGGGTGGTTATAAGGAAATGACAAGTTTTGCTTATCAAATGTTATTACTTTGTCATACATCTTGAATTACTGTTCATAAAACTTATAATTCTTTGTTTCACTTCAAGAATTATGTTATTAATCTGTTTCTTTTTTCTGTTTTAGATTATATTCAGTGTCCATATTGCCAGAGGAGATTTAATGAAAATGCAGCTGATAGACATATTAATTTCTGTAAAGAACAGGCAGCACGTATTAGTAATAAAGGCAAATTTTCTACTGATACCAAAGGAAAGGCGACTTCTCGGACACAGGTGAAATGTTCAATTATTTCTACAAATAAAGGAGAAAATGACTCAGATGCACAATTTTTTGCTTATGGTTTACAGAACATTTAGCTACAGCTTTCTTACCTTCTTAAAGTTTTATATTGTTCAGGGATTTAGTAAGAAATTTGAATGTTTAATTGAGAACAAATAATTGAATGGACTTGAGTTAGTAGAGTCTTGAAAATAATGCAGGTTGAAGAAGGTATTAGGAAAAGGTAAGAAAACTAGTTAAAAAGTAGGTGAAGCAGATTCAGAGGAAATCAGAGGGTTTGGAAGAGTGAGACAATGGCAGTAAAAATCCAAATTTGAAAATCAGGTAAGTACTGAATGTTTCCATGCTACATGTGACCATACACCCAAGGGAGTGAAATCCTGGGGTTAAGTCCAACTGTTACTTCTGAACTTTTAGGCAAGTAACATTTCATGTATGAGAGCCTTTATTTCTTCATCCGTGAAGTAGTCTATATGATTTTTGTGAGAAGCAAATGAGATGGTATATGTGAAAGCACTTCAAGAGCCATAAACCATATATGGATTTTGTTATATGAAATTTTTGTTATATGAAATTTTTACAGTTGTTTTTCATTGAGCATATTGTGACACAAAAACTTTGATACTGTCATACTTTTTTTAAAAAAATTATTTATTTTAGAGTGAGAGAGAAGAGAACACAAATGGGAGGGGCAGAGGGAGAGGGAGAGAAACACTCAAGCAGATTCCCCACTGAGTGAGGAGCCTGACGTGGGGCTCCATCTCAGGACCCTGAGATCACGACCCTGAGATCATGACCTGATCCAAAACCAAGAGTCAGAGGCTTAACCGACTGTTGCCACCCAGGGGCCCTGATAATGTAATACTTTTCAGCAAACTTCATTTTTCAGAAGACTTTCATTTACAGTTTTTTTAGTACTGTAAATCTAGCAGGCAATAAAAATCAAATCCATTTCACTTGTTACTTATGAATCAAATATTGGATTAAAAGACTCCATTACAATTGGAGCCTTCTTGAGAGGATCCATATTGAATTTTTGTTAATATTATTGGATCATCATCATTGTGGGGAAAGAATGAAGAAAATTCATTTTGAAGAATTTCTAAAACAGATGTCAAAAACATTTATCTTTTACTTAAATTGTTAAGATCATTTATATGATTTTTCTTTTGTCATAATAAAATAATTAGAGTAAAAGAAATAGAATGTGTATATTCCATCAACTTGGTGCCAAATGACTGTAAATGTAAAATCCAGGTAGCTGATAGTTCCCACTTTAAACTGTATCAGTTCTGATTGTATGCCCAGTCATATATATTCATTTCAATGTAAGCCCATATTTTCTCATTTTTATTCATTCAAGAAAATTTTATTGAGTACCCTCTCTGAACGAGGCACTACTGTACCAAGTACTGAGTCTATATTAGTAAACTAAATAGAATATTTTTCCAAAAGATGCTTAAAATGCATCCTTATTATATTTAGCAACTATACTCTAATCCAATTACAGCCCACTTTTTGACCCTGCTCTGATCAAAATAATGATAAAAATACAATGAGGATCTATTTCCTATTGGTAAAACCAAGAAGTTCCCCCATTTAGTTAAATTTCCATCATTCTTCATTAGGAATTTTATCAAGTTCCATCATGGCATATTAAAGTCGACTCATGAAGAATAGGAAACAAAATGTTACCTAGTATATACTAAATTAAAACATTTTATTATTTTAAAAGAACATATTATATTGAAATAGTCCGTTTGTAACTTAGGTTCTGAAGTACTCTTTTCTCACCTTGGCTAAGTTACCTTATGAGCTTAAACCAATTCAGTATGTATTTTATGATTTAGGAATTTTCAGTATTCTGATTGATAATTACCCTATTCATTCTAAAGTAATAAGGTTTAAATCTGGAAAGATGGTGTTCAGTTTTTAATGAATTTTTTTCTTATTAAAGGCATTCCTGTTCCTTATGGAAAATTTGAAAAAAAAATATTTTTAAAAGTCATCTTAGTTGATATTTAAAAAATTTAATTTCGTGCTTTTATTTAATTTTTAAATTTTATTTATTTTTATTAGAGAAAGGGAGGGACAGAGGGAGAGAGAGAATCCCAAGCAGGCTCCACACCCAATGTGGAGCCCAATGCAGGGCTCGTTCTCATGATAGTGAGATCATGACCTGAGCTGAAATCAAGAGTCAAGATGCTTAACTGACTGAGCGACCCAGGTGCCCCTCTTATTTTATACAACACTTTTATTCTGATTTTTTCCTCCTTATTTTCCTCAATTATTTTATTGTAAATTATACACATCAAAAAAAACCACACAAAATATACATACGTGCATAACCACAAAAAGGTTAAGAAATAGGGTATTATCAATCTCACAAAGCCTCTACTATACTGTTTCACTCCCAGAATTGTAATGTTCTCTCCTTCTTAGACCCTCACCCCATAAAATAGTCACTCTTCTGATTTTACATATAAATCAGTTTTTGCCTTCTATATAGTCTCCAGACCATGATTGCACTTTTATTTACTATGGCTTTATAAATCTTGATGTCATGATGGATTTGTAGTTATTTTCTCCTCCATTTTCTCTCACTTGAAAATAGTTGAAAATATTTTCTAATTTGTGATTTCTTCTTTATTTTTTTTGTTGTTGGTTGTTTTTGTTTTTTTTGTATGTTTGTATTTATTTTGTATTTATTTATTATTTATTTATTTATTTTAAAGATTTTTTATTTATTTGACAGAGAGAGACACAGCGAGAGAGGGAACACAAGCAGGGGGAGCCGGAGAGGGAGAAGCAGGCTCCTGGCTGAGCAGGGAGCCCAATGCGGGGCTCAATCCCAGGACCCTGGGATCATGACCTGAGCCGAAGGCAGATGCTTAACGACTGAGCCACGCAGGCGCCCCTGTTTTTATTTTTTAACTGGAGTATGATATTCTCTGCCTGATCTTCCCCACCCTCCATAATCCATACCTTCCCTCCCTTCCAGCTGACTTAGTTCCCTCCATGCTCTAAAATACACCCCTGATGAGGGGTAAATTGGTCTCCTTCACATTCGCATCTATAAAATGGGGATAATATGTACCTACCTCAACAGTTATCAAAAGCATACAGCAAAATAATGCCTATTGGTGTGATTTCTTCTTTTACTCATAGTTTGTTCAAATGTGAGTCATTTACTTCCAGATATTTGGTGCTCCTCTAGATGTTTATTGCTGATTTTTTTTTATTTAATTCTCTTAGTGTCTGAGAACATACTTGGTAAGACTTTCATCTTTTGAGATTTGTTTTATTGCCTAGCATGTGGTCTTTTCGGTGAATGTTCCTACAGTCTTCATCTATGATTGTGACTTTTTCAGGATATTAATTTCACCAGCTTTTCACTTAAGTATTTTGAATTTCTCTTATTAATTGTATTTATATTTACATCTTTCCTATTTGTTGACCTTTATATCATATGGAGTGTGCCTTTTTGTCCATGGCAACATTCTTTGTGTTGAAGTTTGTTTCATCTGATAGTGTATTGCTGTTTCAGTTTGATCATGCTAATTTCCTTTCAATTCTTTAACTTGAATTTGTGTTGTCAGAATGTGTTTCATCTGATAATGAATAACCATTTCAGTTTAATTATGTTAAATTTCCTTCTAATTCTTTCACTTAAATTTGTGTTTTTGCATCTCCTGTAGACAGCCTGTTTTTAGTTCATCTTTTTTAAAATCCAGTCTGACAACCTCAAACTGTTGGTTGAGGTGTTTAGGCATTTACACTCAGTGTATTTATTGATATGTTTGTGGTTAAGTCGGCCATGTTGCTGTTTTCTATTTTTGTCTTTTTTTTTTTATTCCTTTGATACTTCTTCCTTGCTTCTTTTGTCTTAGTAAAAGATATTTTATATTCTCTATTGGTTTTCAATCATCATATTCTTTTAAATGGTTACTCTAGGAATAACAAAATGCATTTTTTAACTTATCCCCACCTGTGGATATTTCCACATATCTCTCACCAATCTTAGTGTTATTGTTATATATATGTAACTCTATAAACCCATCAGTATTCTTTTTTCTTTTTTTTTTTTAAGATTTTATTTATTTGACAGAGAGAGACAGCAAGAGAGGGAACACAAGCAGGGGGAGTGGGAGAGGGAGAAGCAGGCTTCCCACTGAGCAGGGAGCCCAATGCAGGGCTCGATCCCTAGACCCTGGGATCATGACCTGAGCCAAAGGCAGTCGGTTAACGACTGAGCCACCCAGGCGCCCCTAAACCCATCAGTATTCTTGATGTGTGTTGTTACACAGTGTTATACTTACACCTTTAAAACTCATCTGTCTTTTAAAGAAATTAGAAGAAAATAAATATGTAATAATTTACAAACATATACGCACACGTATGTTTATGCACACCCACATATACTTTGTTTTTTTCTTCTGCCTCTGCCACATCCTCACACACGTATTTTGTATTTTACTTGCATATTACTTACTCCCATATTATCATTTTCATATCTCTTCATTTCTTCTTCTAAATCTCAGTTGCCATATTTTGTCATTTGCCTTCAATCAGAAGAGGCTTCTTTAGCCTTCTAAGAGTGCAGATCTGCTGGCAAGGAATTTTCTGGTTTTGGTTATCTGAAAAAAATGCCTATATTTTGCCTTTATTTCTCTGTTGAGATTTTCTATGTGTTTATTCACTATTACCATCTTTTCCTTTAATTCTTGTATATTTATCCCTTTACTTTTTGAACATATTCATAATAACTGTTTTGAAGGCCTTAACTGCTAAATGTAATATACCTGTGCCCACCTAGGTTGTAGTGTTGACTATATTTTTTGCCAAATATAGGTCATGTTTTTCTCTTTCCTTTTTCCTTTTCTTTCCTTGCCTCACCCTTCCCCTTCCTTGCTTCTTTCTCTTCCCTGCAATTAAACCCAGAATACACAGTTACTAGTTTTCTAGAAGTACTGCTTTTGGATGGTTTCCAGTCTCTTAAAATCTTCTTTTTTTTAGGATCCTTTTGTATTGTCTATAGGGGAGTTAAGCAGCTATTTCACTCCCCCACCGTTAAGTTTGTAATCTGTTACTGCATTTTTTAATTTATTGAGGTTGTCTATTTTTCTAATATCCTATGTTACTTTTTATAGTTTCTAATTCCCTGTTAATATTTTCAGAGTTGTCTTTTATTTCTTTAAATCTAGTAAGCATAGTTGTTTTATATTATGTATCTGATAATTGTGGTATCACGTGATCTTTGTAGATAATGTTCTTGCTTTTTTTTCTCAATCATGGTTTCTTACATCATTATGTACATAATTATTATTGATCATTTGGTGCTTGTTGCCCTCAAAAAATTATTCATGAGAATTGTTCATGTGAAGAGCCTTCTTGTTTCTTCCGGGTATCTAAGAGTACTACTAATTTGGAAGTACTTTAATTTTTGGCTTAGTTTGCCTGGCCACCTAGTAATGCAGATTTATATAGCAAATCCACATGATGGCCAGTCTGTTGTTATAATCTTAAATGTTATTGGCCCACAGTTTATTTTTTTCTTCTTATCTGACATTCATTGCTTTTAAGTGATTTTTCATAATTTCCAGAGCATTTTTACTTTTTAGTTGAAAGGTCGGTCCAAATAGTGCCTTTTTACTATTTTATCAGAAATGAATGCCCTCCGGGGCGCCTGGGTGGCTCGAATGCCCTCCTTGTTCTTTAAGCTCTTTCCAATTTCAAGAAAAAGTCTTTATAAACATAAATATTTGACTAAGGAAATTTATTAGATTTGTGATCTATATAAAAGCACATGAAATAATATCTAACAAATACATATTTAATGAATGAAAGAAATATGGATTGAATATAACTGTATAAAAATAAAGTGATTTTGTTTTTCTGATCACTAAAATGGCTTTATACAAAATTGTTGATTACTGGAGTCATCCTGAAAGCCTAAAGATTTGACCTCTGCATATGTAATATATGCTGTACCAGCACTCTTTGTTTATGCTAATCATTTTGCTCTTTTTTGGTAGTTAGCACAGTATGAGTGGCTCACCAATCCTATTTCTTAATCCAGTTTTATGGAGCCTATTTTTAAGTAGACATGCCTGTGATATTTTAACAGGTCTTTGTTAGGGCTTGTTTTCCATATTCTTAGTTTTAAAATCTTTCCTAATGTCTTCATTGGTATTTTAGTGGGAGACACTGATATTAATCCGATGCCCTTTTAAAGATTTATTTATTCATTTTTGAGAGAGAGAGACACACACAGCACACAGATGTGCGAGTGGGGAAGGGGCAGAGTGAGAGAATCCCCAAGCATACTCCCTGCTCAGCGCAGAGCCCGACCCTGGCGATCTCACATCCCCAAGATCATGACCTGAGCCAAAACCAAGAGTCTGACGCTCAACCTACTGAGCCACTCAGGTGCCCCCAGATGCACTTTTTTCCCTTTTAAAAAAATTAATTTATAAGGCGCCTGGGTGGCTCAGTTGTTAAGCGTCTGCCTTCGGCTCAGGTCGTGATCCCAGGGTCCTGGGATTGAGCCCCACATCGGGCTCTCTGCTCGGCGGGAAGTCTGCTTCTCCCTCTCCTACTCCCCCTGCTTGTGTTCCTGCTCTCACTATCTCTCTCTCTGTCAAATAAATAAAATCTTTTAAAAAATTTATTTTTATTTAAAATCAATTAACATATAGTGTATTACCAGTTTCGGTGGTAGAGTTCAGTAATTCATCAGTTGCTAGTTGCCTTTTTAAACCAGAAACACCTCTTAGGTTTTCAAAGAAACAGTGTCTTTAAATGGCTTATCTCCAAAGGGTCCTAGTCACTTGTTCATTTGACAGATAGTTATTGAAGTTTTTCTAGTTGCCAAGTGCTTAAGAAATTTCCGCTTCTGGGATAATAGTGCCAAATGTGCGTGGAATTTGTGTGTGTGTGTGAGAAAGAAAGAGAGAGAAAAGCCTTTTTATCAGGATTTATTTTCCTTAAAAGGTCACATACTAAATTTTGAAGGGTATAATATTTGACGTTAAAATTTGGGTTTAGCTAGCAGTTTTTAGTAGTGGTGCATCTTAAATTTTATACTGATTATTGGTTATAAAATCTGATTTGACTTTTGGAGATTATGTTTAAAACCAGTTTTTCACACAAGTCCTAAGCATTCGCACTATGGTATTGGGCTAAATCTCAAGTACAGTCATCACTTTATAGTTGAAGCATAGGGCTAGAACTAAAGTGGCATGAGTCTTAATTACTTTTGTGTTGTTAAGTTGGGGTATAACCTCAGGCAAATTCATTTTGTTATATTGGAGCAGGTGATCAATAAGATACTTTAATATTTAGTAACAGCAAAATTGGTCAGGTAAGAGACAGTAAAATACAATTGATAATGATATCTTTCTAGAGAGTAGAGAAAAAAAAAATACCCTATCGCTCCTCAACCCATGTTCTATATTCATCTAACATGATCTGGTGAGGATAGTGAAGCCAGAATTAGCTCTTTCTCTTCACATTCAGGAAATCCATAAGGCAGCTATTGTAAAACTTGTCCAGACTTATTTGTAATCTTATGAATTATTATCAGTAGGAAAATGGCTGGATTATATGTATGAAATATAAAACCATACCTAGGAACATGTAAAAAATTTGACCTTTAAAGCAGCACTGCTAAGTGAGTATCATTGGGTGTTTCTAAGTTTTTCTATTAATATTCGGCATTTAAAATCTTCACATTGCAGAAATTTTTTCCATTTGACCTATTTTTTTTTTTTTTCTGTGAACTGGGCAAAGCTGCTCTTAGTTAATTTTAGCAGTGGAACATCTGAGCCAAACCTTTAGTACACTAGTTTTGAAATGGAACATATTTTGGGAACCTCTCTCTGAGGTGATATATTTTAATCTGTACTTTCTCAATTTGGGTAATTCAGTAGCTAATAAAAAAAATTACTCATTTAAGGGTATGTGAGCTTTTGAAATACTAGTTTACAACCTATAATCAAAAAGTGATGTTAATAAAAAATATTTTATTTTCATTATTTTAGTATAAGCCGCCTGCACTTAAAAAGTCAAATTCTCCTGGAACTGCACCATCAGGATCTTCACGATTACCACAGCCAAGTGGCACTAGCAAAACTGTTGTAGGTAATGAGCTCCACAAATAACCTGATTTTTTTTTTTTTTTAGAGACAGAAATGAAGATAGTGTTGTATTTTGGATTATTAAAATAGATTTATAATTAGGAAGAGATGTGGAGGTTAAGTAATTCTTTCTGGGTAAAAATAAAGTAACTTTCAATAACTTTCTACTTAGGATACTTCATAGTCCTTTTTCCCACCTTAAATGTCTATCCTTGATGTTGTTACTGATATATCAGAGTAGTCAACCAAGTTCTTTTCTTGATTCTTTGACCACAGTATTTTCCCCTCATTTTCATGTATACTGCTCTGAACTTGACAGTTGTCCTAATAGACACATGCTTAATGACTTGAAGGAGATATTGACTAACTGAAGTGCACCTTTATTTATATGTAAATTGTAATAAAGAAATATGGAAATTAGAAATGAAGGATGTTATATGTTCTTTGGAAATTCCATTTTTAAAAAACCTTTTCTTAGTTGATAACTTGTTTTGATTTGTTGCCACGAAGATTTATTGCCACTAAAGCATTGTTTTCCTTGTCAGATGCTCTGTTTTATGTGATTTTACTTTTTCAGAATGTCGTTAAAACTAATAACCTTTTTTATTATAAGGTGTGCCTTCAGGTAAAGTGTCTTCAGTTAGCAGCTCTTTGGGAAACAAACTTCAGACCTTATCTCCCTCCCATAAAGGGATAGCAGCCCCTCATGTAGGGTAAGTCTATTTGAATTTAATTCATTAGTGATATACACACACGCACACACACACACACATACATGCAAATGATACTAAGGTTTTATTTTATTTAGGTAATTAGCTTTTTTACTAACCTTGATTTTCTTTCTAAAGTTCATTTGTCTTTTAACATATTGCTGGTCAGAGGCACATACACTACTCTTGAGGGTCTAAATTAGGATAACCATTTTGATGGGTATTAAAGAGGGCACGTTCTGCATGGAGCACTGGATGTTATACGCAAACAATGAATCATGGAACACTACATCAAAAACTAATGATGTAATGTATGGTGATTAACGTAACAATAATAATTAAAAAAAAAGATAACCATTTTGGAAAAAAATCTAGTGGCATGTATCAGGAGCCCAAAAAACATTAATAGTTTTTGAATAATTTTACTTCTTGAAATCTAGTCTAAGGAAATCATTTGAAATACAGAAGATTTTTGTAATAACCATTATTTATGAGACCTTATATATCAGGCACTGTGCTAAACATTTTTCATATATTTTTATTAAAACCACTCCATGACCATAGGATGAGGGGATCTGAGAACCAAATTTGCTCAAAGCCACACAGCTATTAAGAGTTGGAAGCAGGATACAAATTAGTCTATTTGCCTCTAAACATTGGTTTCTTTCACATGGTTTTATTACAATGTAAAAAAAATAAAATCACCTAAATTGCTAGCTTTGTTTGAATAGCAAACTATAAGTCTATACAGGGATGTTAGGCAACCATAAAATGTATATACATTTTTAAAGGGATGATTCTGCTATAACAGGAGAAGAATGTAGGATACAAACTCCCATGTATACTGAGATAGAAACTATAAAAATGTGTGTAGACAAAAAAGACAAAATATGCTGAAATATTAACAGTGGATGATTATTTTCCACTTAATATTTTATTTTATTTATTTATTTTTTTTTTTAAAGATTTTATTTATTTATTTGAGAGAGAGAGAATGAGAGATAGAGAGCACGAGAGGGAGGAGGGTCAGAGGGAGAAGCAGACTCCCCGCCGAGCAGGGAGCCCGATGTGGGACTCGATCCCGGGGCTCCAGGATCATGACCTGAGCCGAAGGCAGTCGCTTAACCAACTGAGCCACCCAGGCGCCCTCCACTTAATATTTTAAAAATACTTTTTAATCTTTCTACAGTTTTATATACATGGCTTTTAAGAAAGTAGCATAATTAAGCTTTCCACGATTATTTTAATTGTGGGAAAAATTGTTGGTAATATACTAGAGATTTAAAAAAATCCTCCTATCTCAGTAAAACTCCCTTTCTCTTCCATTTTGGTAAATCAGAAAATTAAGGGTTACCATGTGATCTTTAGAATGAGGGCTTATGTGTATACTTTACAAATACTGATAAAGTTGATTTAGGAAATACAGCACACATTATTTTCAGATATGGGTTATCACTTTTTTTAATGTAGGAAATATACATAGGGTTCTGTATGAGGTGAGAGCAACTGTCTTTTGTTTCCTAATTTGGACTACACAGAAAGTACAAAATCTAAAAGGAGTTTAATGTAATTATCATTGCAGAAAAAGAAAAAGACCAACTAACAAGATCTGATTAGTTAAATGTTTTTTCTTTTTGTTGTGCTTCCAAAAAGAAGACACAGGCTATTCTTAAGAAAGAGACAGATTATCAGTAGAACAGGTGGTTGAAAAGCAAAATGTTCTCATCTTTCAGTGGTGAAAACTGATTTTGTTTTATTTTTTTAGTTTCTCTACTGAGCTGACTCATCATTTTTAATTAAAGTGTAGACAATATGTATTTTAACTTTTACAGATCCTTTTTACCATATCACAGAATTGCCTTCCATGTTATGTTATAGTTTCATTTACAGTTGATTATGAATTAAAAGCTGATGTTTTTTAGTGCCTTTCCTCTCATACTGGTAATTTTATCAGGTGGCCATATTAAGTTGTACTCACACCTTCCCCTGTACTCTTTTTTTTTTTTTTGAAATACTAGTTTACAACCTATAATCAAAA